GGCCAAGGACTTAGAAAAGCTACCCCACACTCACTCCTCAAGTACAAAGGCATCCTATATGTTAGAAGTACATGCTTTATTCACTCTGTAACCACTACTTCCAGCTCTTTCAGGAGGGTGCTTTGAGAATTCAATCCTCTTGAGAAAGTGAAGAAGAGGTAATTGAAGGCAGGAATGTGTTTCCAAAAAAATGGTGTATTAGTTTCTTATGGCTGCCATAACAAAGTACCACAAACCAGGTGACTTAGAAGTTTACTGACTTCCAGTTTTGGAGGCCAGTAGACTGAGATCAGGGTGTTGTAAAAGGACCACTTCCTTCTGTTGGCATTGAAGGATCTGTTCCAGCCTTCTCTCCTTGGTTTGTAGATAGATAGCCATTTCTCCCTACTTTCCTTTTCATCATCTTCCCTTTATGCTTGTCCATGCTGGTGTGTCCAAATATCTCCCTTCTAGTAGATTAGAGTCCACCTTATCACCTCATCCTAACCTAACTAATTACATCTGCAATGACCCTATTTCCACATAAAGTTACATTCTGAGGTACTGGGGGTTAGGAATTCAACCTATGAATTTTAGGGGATAGATAATTCAATCCATGACAGATGGATTGGCATAGTCTCTTCTTTCTCTTCCCTGGCCACTTACCTCCTATAGATTTCCATTACCATCTCTGTGAGATATTGAAATTGCCTTCCTTGAATCCCTGCCTCATGTCCTTCAATCTCTAGTCCACCTTGCATATGCCTGTCTTTCTAGAATTTCTAGAATTTCCACTTCTATCATGCATCTTGATTACAAACCATCCATGGTTCTCCATTGTCTAAGGAAGTGGCTCCAAAACTTGCCAGTTTATTGGACTCATGTGGAAAGTTTAAAGGCATATACGTTCCTGGGCCCTTCTCTGATACTCTGATTTATAAAGCTGGAGTAGGGTCTCCTCTGGCATTGAAAACAAATCTCTAGATGACTTTGATCATGGGGTCCACTGATATAAAGAAGAAATTCAAATTCTCCACACTCTGGTTGAAGTTTACTCTTCCACTTCATTATTCTAGAACCCTTTGCCTACCTACCAGCTGCCAACTTGCTGTGATGATCCTGCTCCAGTGTCATCTTCGTATTGGACACCTTAGGAGGTGCTTCCTCCTCCACCCCTCCAACTGGCTCTTGTCCTGCTCTCCTCCCACCTTTTCTTTGAAGTCTCCCACCACTCCATCCCATTGTCACCTCCCCCTTCTTCACCTCCTGTATCTTCCTGTCTATGTTACTGTCTAGGCAGAGCACTCCACCTTCTGAAGGTTCATAGGTCATAGAATCCCAGGGCTGGGAGGTCCCTGGACTTCCTATGTGTCTCAAAGGTCTTCCAAGTTCAGAAGAGGAAACTGAGTCCCCTACATGATATGTTCAGGGCCATACAGTGGTATAGCTGGGAAATGGTTCAGGGTGTGACTCCAAACAAGAGGATTGTATAAGATGCTTAGGCTTCTACATCTCCTCTCTCACTCCACACAGCCAGGCGATTGTCCGCTCTGCCAGGGAACTGGGGCAATTGTCTTCTTGACAGAGGCTGACTGAAGAGGCCAGGGAGTTGGGGACTTGGTATGGCAGAGGGCAGAGCAGAAGCACTGTATTTAAAGAGCGATATTCCTGCCATTTCTGGGAAATGTGTAAAGAGGAAACAGCCTGTCTCAGTTGTACTCTCATGATACAGGTCATTTGAAATGAACCAAGAAATAAAACATAAAAATTCAACCATGGAAAAAAAAATAATAAAATAAATAAATAAAGAGCAATATTAAGTACAAGTTCACAAGCCGAGCAGGCTCCCCTCCTTACAGTGCACCATCATCAGGAATACCTAAAACAGGAAACAGAGTCACTTCTATCTGGAGAAACTGACCACTCTAAGAGAAAATACTGACAGAAAGGACTAATCGACAAAATTGCTGGGTCCCCACCTAATCATCCTATAGCAAGGCAAGACCTGACAATCAGCAAGCCCTGCTCACATGCACGAACTGTTGATAAGCCTTTTTGTTTCTCACTTTCACATGTGAGTAAACAGTCATGGATCACCAGAGACCACAACAAACAAACAAAAACCAAGGGAAGTCCTAAATTCCAGAGAGAAGCTTAAAAAAGAAAAATAGTTTACATACAAAGGACCAAGAGGCCGAATAACATAGGACTTTTCAACAGCAACTTGAGGAATTAAAAGACCATGGAACAATACCTTCCATATAATGAGGAGAGTAGTTTCAACTTAGATTTTTCTTACACAGGCAAACCATCCATAAAGTCTGAGAGCAGACAAATTCAGACAGGCAAAAATGCTTATCTCCTGTGCATTCACTCTCAGAAAGATTCTGGAGAATGTGAGGCTCAAAAATGATTAAACCAGGAAAGAGGAAGATTGAGATCCAGTAAATACGGGATTCGACATAGGAGAAGACATTCAGAATAATGATGGGGAAGGGAAGTTCCAGAACGGCCGTGCAGCAGGCCTCAAGAAGAAACAATCCAGTTTGTAGTAGGAGAGGTACAGGGCTCCGTGGGGAAGGAAAATAACAGATGGATCATTAGATACATTTGAATATGTGGAAAATTATATCAAGAGGCTGCTAGAGAATGTGGGAAGTAATCTTAGAAACAAAGAAGCTAAACATAAAAATACAAGAGGACAGAGGACTGCACTGAAGCATGTAGTCATGAAAAAAAAATGAGCTGATGGGTTCCTGATTGAGAGGAGTTTTATGTGAGAATTTAGGGAATGGAATTGAGATGAAGAAAGGTAGGCAATTATTAAGTCCTGGAAAAACAGTAAGTTGTACAAGAAAGGAAATGTAATTATTGTGCACTATGTGACTCAGCTGCAAATAATAATCTATATTAAAAATAATGTTGGTCCTCGCTGCTGTTGCCACTGAGACCAAGATGGTGGCAAGACTCCGTGCCCTTCTCAAGAATGCCTGGGCCAAGGAGGCAGTCCTGGTGGTGTCCTTCTTCACTGGGAGCCTCACTGTAGTTCTGCCCCCAATCAGCCCCTACTTCAAGCACTCTGTCATGATCAACGAGGCCACGTCCTACAACTACACAGTGCCTGTCTACCATGATGGGAGCATGCCCGAAGTACCCAGCCACCCCCAGAAACCCCAGGGTCCCAGCCTGGAGTGGCTGAAGAACCTGTGAGCACCTCCCCTGGCTCCTAATAAAAATGTGAACCCCCGCTGCAAAATAATGTCAAGAATAAAATAAGTTTAAACAAAAATGGAAATATAACTATATTGGGAAGATTAGTGCAGGAAAATTCCATGTGTGTGTTTCAGTTATATTCTTTCTCAGCCATAAGCTCACTTTTTTACACTCTGTGATGCTGGGACTGGAACTCTGCAAACTGCATTGCTTCCTTGCTGGCTGTCTCCATGTTAGACTCATACAGTATGGAAATTAGAGGGATGCTGTAAAGCTGGAGGAGAAAAGAACTTATGTCTTCCTGTCTGCTTACTTCTCTCTCAGTGTTCATTCATTAGTTTATTCAACAAATATTTATTTAAAGACTATCATCTGGCCCGGCACTACTCTAGGTGTTTACCTTCCAGTAGGGAAAGAGAAGTAATAAACAATATAAATAAATAAATAAATAAAGTATATGGCATTATGTGGAAAAAAGAACAAAGAGAATTAAGGGACATTGGGAGTGCATGGGTGAGGTGTATTATAATTTTATTTTATTTTAATTTTTTGAGATGGAGCCTCACTCTGTTGCCTAGGCTGGAGTACAGTGGCACAATCTTGGCTCACTTCAATCTCTGCCTCCTGGGTTCAAGTGATCTTCCCACCTCAGCCTCCCGAGTAGCTGGGACCACAGTTGCCTGCCACCTGCCTGGCTAATTTTTGTATTTTTAGTAGAGACAGAGTTTTGCTATGTTGGCCAAGCTGGTCTCAAACTCCTGACCTCAGGTGATCCACCCACCTGGGCCTCCCAAAGTGCTGGAATTATAAGCGTGAGGCACCGTGCCTGGCCTATAATTTTATTTTTATTTATTTATTTTTTTGTGACGGAATCTTGCTCTGTCACCCAGGCTGGAGGGCAGTAGCACGATCTCAACTCACTGCAACCTCCACTTCCTGGGTTCAAACAATTCTCCTGGCTCAGCCTCCTGAGTAGCTAGGACTACAGGCACCCGCCAGCATGTCTGGCTGATTTTTGTATTTTTTATTAGAGTTGGGGTTTCACCATATTTACCAGGCTGGTCTTGAATTCCTGACCTCAGGCAATCTGACTGCTTCAGCCTCCCAAAGTGCTGGGATTACAGGTATGAGCCACTGTGCCCAGTCTATTTTTAATTGTAATTAATTATTATTATTATTTTGAGACAAAGTCTCGCTCTGTCACCTAGGCTGGAGTGCAGTGGATTGATCGTAGCTTACTGAAGACTCAGCCTCCTGGACTCAAGTGATCTCGCATCTGTCTCCCAAGTAGCTAGGACTACAAGTGTGCACCCCCATGCCTGGCTAATTGTTTATTTTCTTTTGTTGCAGAGATCCAGTCTTACTATGTTGCCTAAGCTGATCTTGAATCCCTGGCTTCAAGCAATCCTCCCACCTTAGCCTCCCAAAGTATTGGAATTACAGATGTGACCTACTGTGCTGAGCCTTATTATTTTTATTGACACAAAATAGATGTACATATTTTCAGTGTACATGCAATCATTTATCACATTCCTGTAACTTGTAAAGAGCAAATCAGTGTAGTTGGAATCTCTATCACCTTAAATATCTGTCTTTTCTTTATGCTTTTCTTTCTGATCACTTTGGGTAGTATGGATATTTAACAATGTTTCTGCTAGAAGCAATTATTCTCTTACAGCTATTTTGAAATAGACCATAGATTATTGTAAACTATGGCCACTCTACTGATTTATCAAACACTTGGTCTTATTTCTTCTATCAAACTGCATATTTTTACTCATCAATCAACCTCTTTTTATCTCTCTCACCCCCTAGCTTTCCTGGCCTCTGGTAACAACCAATCTATTCTCTGTCTTCATTAGATCCACTTTTTTAGTTCCCACATATGAGTGAGAACATATGATGCTTGTCTTTCTGTGCCTGGCTGATTTAAGAAGAACATGCTTTTGGCTTTGTGGTTTCATGGTTTGCCCATCACATTAATTTTCTGTATTGAATGACACTCTTTTGGTTGTGACAGAAACTCAACTCGAATTTATTTGTAAAAGAAATAGAAACAGGATGCCTACTCAGATTGCGTAAGTTTGAATACCAACTCTACGTGGTCTTTGGCATATTACTTAACCTCTAAAAGCCTCTATTTCCTCATCTGGAAATGGTACCCTGTTCTCTGGAGATTGTTATGGGAGTTGAATAAGACAAGAAATGCGCCTAGCCCATGTCAATCACTTGATACATGGTGCTAGTCTCAGCAGTAATTGAATAGTAGCGGTCACCCGAGGAGTGGAGGAAGTTGTGTTGTGAGCATGTTATTCCTAGAGGAAGTTGGACGGCAGGGAGTGAGGCAGACCTTTTCTTTCTCACATGTACACACCCCTGTGAACTCCACCATGACCTGCTGTAAGAATTGCTGGTGTAGACAGCCATCCTACTAATACCCTCCTCTACCATGAGTCACCCAGGGAGCACAAGAGGCCACGACTATTTCTTGACTAATGGTCAGGCCACTATAGCCAGAGTCCAGCAGAACCTCAAACTCCATCAGCAATGAAGGGAGATTTTGCCACAGGTTGTCTGGGCAGCCAAGAGCTCTGCAGTTTGAGAGAGTGGTTTCAGATCTTCTGAGACACAAAAAGTCATGTAAGACACCTCTGAGAGTTTAGGTCTGTTCATTCTACTGAGGGTACAATCGCACATTATATTTATGTCCTATGCCCATCTTTTTGTCTTTTGTGTTTTCAAATCAAATCCATTTTGAGGGGGATATTTAACATCTAGTTAAAATAGGTTATGAAAAAACAGCCAAAGTCCAGTAAAAAACCTCTTGGGAAATGACCTTAATCTCTAGTTTGTAGATCTTCACTGCTCTTACTAAATGTTCAAAGAAGTTTTTGTTTTTTGTTTGTTTTTTTAGTGATTAGTATGCACACATGGATTAGGGAGTATTCCTAAAATCAGGAAAAAGGAAGAAAGCAGATTAGGCAGAGGGAGAACTTGGCTGTGATGTTGTCACAAAGCTCTCAGTGGATCCCACAGAGAGTGATGAAGCTAGGCTTGACTTTCAGAGTTGTGCAGAGCTGGGGTTTAAAAGATCCAGCCTCTTGCTTATAGCCATTACTGGATAGTGAATAAAAAGAAAAAAAAAAAAAAGAAGGCCTGGCCTCAACAGCCCCTCACCCCAGCCTACCTAACTGGATAGACATTAGATGTTATGTTCTAAGGATCTTAATGAAATAGTTGTTGAAACATATCTGAGATGCAGTAAATTTTGGTCTGCAGAATCAAGTCAACATTGCCTCAGTCAGAATTTGTGATGAACATGTACAAATAGTCAGATCTGGCTTGAGACAGCCTAGTTTGAAAATATACACAGGTGCAGAAGGGACATGCTGTTTCTCACCAAGTCCTAGGTTAGGCGATGCCCGTGTAAGGTAATTGCTCCCCCTAGGCTCCAGGTCTGTAGACGAGGTAAAGCTGCCACTGTGTGAATAGTGGAGGCTGGCTTTGGACTTATGATCCAAGCAGACAGGTTTTTCCCAAGCATGGTTAACTGAGTCACAAATGATCACACCCTGTATCAAACCCATTTGTGTTTTTTTCTGACCAAAATAAAACTTTCCATTAAAACTGAACAGCAATGAAACAATTTCTAATCTCTACCTTACGTGCAATCTGCAATTTAGCACAAGATTTAAAGAGATAGAAGCATCTCTTAGGATTTTGTTTTTGTTTTTTTCCCACCCATCTGCTTCAATAACTGGAAATCTTTGTTTAATCTGATTCCAGGTCTTTCCTTGTGTTTGAGAAAACATTCAGACTGCATCTTCTGTGGCTTCTCCATGTCCCAGTTGCAACTTCAAGAACCCTGATCAGTGCCATCAAAGTTGTAATTTAAAGCCTATGGGAGGCCCAGGCTTTCACTGTATTAGACAGTTATCAGTCCTCATTATCAAACCACTCATCCCCTTTGTTGCTCTGTATAATAGAAAAAGCAGCTTCCTGCTCCTGGTGACTTGGGAAAACACTGAATAAGAGAGAGAGATTACAGCCTTAGCAGGTGTGCACAGCAGGGTCCTTCCCAAACCCCCTCCCCTCCGGGCCTTCTCTAATCAGAAGGAGTCACTGGTTTCCCTTTTCAAAGGAGCCGGTCTACTTGGCCTTATCCCAGGGTCGAGAGTAGCTCAATGATTAAATTAAATTCAGTGTCAGAATGTAGCAGTTCTTCCTGCTGGAACATTTCCAGACTACTTCTACCACAGCCATTAATTTCTTGAAATTAATTTTTCCTTTTATCTAAGCAGTACACACATAGCTTTAAAAATTGATGACAAAAGCCTCCTGTGAAAAAGCAGCAGTCTGCTGCCTCATCCACTCCTAAACTCCTTAAGTTTTTTTCTTGCTGTTTATCTCTATTTTTATTCTATATGATATGTGCATATCATTGGTTTGAGGCATCAATTTTAAACTTTATCTTTTGGCTTTCTCATGAACTACAAGAGATATAACTTCCTTTCTGTTTTTCACTCCCATTTCCTGCCCCTCTTTCTACAAATATAGCTGTACTGTATTGTTGCTTTGATTAAATCTAATTTCAGATTTGTTTTTATTATTCAGATTTATATTATTTTACTTCATTATAATGAAATTATATTATGTAGTCATAATAATATAATATTTTATAATATAATATGATATTTAAATGGTCATTATAATATAATGAAACATTGTTCATTGCAGAGCAAAGGAGTATATTATAATTCTTTATTTTTATAAACTTTTGTATAGTCTTAGTCCTTATCGTTTTCTTAAATTATTTGGTTCCTTTGGGTAATATGTGAACATGATTATCCCATTGTTAAATAACTTAGCAGATAGCTTTCCTGCCTCCATTCTCTTGCTTCAGGCTGACTTGCTGCTCTTGGGAACAGCTGTGCAGCATGACTCTGAGCCTTACCTTCCTCAACCTGGAAATCCCTTTTGACCCTCACTTGTGTTTGATCTCATTTCCTGGATCCCAAATCTTTCTCTTTTTGATTTATTGACCTCTCATTTTCATGGAGCACGTTCTTAAATAACTATTCCTGAGAAAGTGTGCATGGGAGAAAAGTTTTCTGAGACTTTTCAAGTCTGTATTTTTCTTTGTCCTCATGCTGGATTGATAATTTGGCTGGGTATAGAATTTTAGACTGAAAATAATTTTTCCTCTTAGAATCTGGAAAGTTTTTTTTTTTTTTAAATTACATTTAAGAAGTGGCCATTCTTATTCTGAGTTATTTGGATGTAATTTTTTTTTATCTTCAGAAATTTCTATTCCTCCCTTGTGTTCTGAAATATGATCATGATATAAGTTATATTCTTTTTCAGGAACCTGATGAGCCCTTTTACTCTTTTTGTTTGAAGCATTTTTTCTGATTATTTGTTTGATAAATTTCTTCTCTTTCAAGTTTTTGTTTTCTCTTCTAGAATTCTTATTAATTGAATATTGGACTCCCTGAATTGATCCTCTAATTTTCCAGCTCATTTTCTTCCCTGTTGTTTGCCTCTTAGCTATTTTGTTTTGTTTTTGGGGATACTCCCTTGAATTTATCTTCCACCCCTCCTATTGAATTTTTTTTTTGACTGTGGCTATCATATTTAATTTCCAACTGCTCTTTTAGGTTTCCTGTTTCTCCTCCTCCTCCTTCTATAGTATCCTCTTTTTGCTATTATCTTTCCAAAGAATGCATATAGTTTTTCCCCTAAAGTTGTTTTTCTTCTTGTTCTTTTCTTTAAGTCCCTTTTCTCAGTCTGTTCTGGCTTTGTTTTTCACCTTGGGGGTCTTCTACAAATGTCTGTGGATCCTTAGCTATTCATTAATACTTGAATCAATCACTAAGAAGCTGATGGGGGCTCTATGGGCAGGAGTAGGGCTTGCTTCTGGTGATCTTCTTTGCAGGACTGTGGCTCTTAGTAGGGGCAGCTCCTGGGCAGTTTGGAAAGTTGTGAGGATTTTTACTTATCACCGTCATTGGGGGGCCTATTAACATTTAATATGTGGGAACCAAGAATGCTAGTTGGATTGCAGGACAGTTCCACACAACAAAGATTGTCCTGTGTCTAGGGCTGCCACCTAAAGTACAGGACACTCAGTTAAAATCAAATTTTGGATAAACAACAAATACATTCTTTGTATTAGTATGTCTGAAATATTACATGTTTATGAGCCAAATCTGGCAACCCTATTGTGTCCTACTCTATGTCCCACTGCACAGTTATCTAGGTGAAAAGCTCTTTACAGTGATTTGATTCTTGATATCAGCTCGGCTTCATATATAAATATGAACTCTTTTTTCACATGGATTTAACATATCCTGTGATTTTTAAAAATGCATCTACTACGTAAATTGAGAGGAGACTGGACTTTGTTTTGTTTAGAACTTAACCAAGGGTTGTCACCATTTAGAACAACATGTCACTGATACAGCACTGCTCGTGATCAAATATGCAGGTAATGGTCTGCAGTCAACCCTTTTACCCCGAGGGGTTCCACTGTACTAATTTCGACCTTATTTCAAGATGGCAAATATAAGAAACATGACAAAATAAAATAAAAATGGTATCCATAATATTCAGTTGAATATGGTCTTCTTTTAAGGTTGAACCTATTCATTGTAAAAAGATGAAAGCATCTAACTGCTTCATTATGTCTCCCAGGTATGCTGCCCGTGTGCCTACATAGAAAACCATCATGGATCGTGAACTACTTTCCTTTTTTTTCTCCTTTGTAAGGACATTATAATTAAAAAAAAAAAGTGTAAGTTGATTGTTTTAACTATGAATTTAATTTCACATAGTAAAAGAGATATTTTAATATTTTTGCTTTAAAAAGAAGATTGAAGCTACCTGCAACATGGTCAAATCTCAAAATAATTATGCTGCATGAAAGAAGCCAGACAAAAAGAGGACATATTGGCTGGGCACGGTGGCTCACACCTATAATCCCAGCTCTTTGGAGGGCTGAGGCAGATGGATCACTTGAGGTCAGGAGTTCAAGACCAGCCTGGCCACAGGGCAAAACTCCATCTCTTCTAAAAATACAAAAATTAGCCAGGTGTGGTGGTGGGTGCCCATAATCCCAGCTATTTGGAAGGCTGAGCCAGCAGAATTACTTGAACCTGGGAGGCAGAGGCTGCAGTGAGAGCAGAGAGTATGCCACTGCACCGTAGGCTGGATGACAATTTTTATAAAATTATTGAAAATGTAAGCTAACCCTATAGTGACAAAAAGAAAATCAGTGATTGCCTGGCAATGGGGACTGGGACAGAGAACAGCAATGAATTGCACAAGGAAACTTTTGGGGAATGGCTGTGTTTTTTAATCTTGATTTTGGTGATCATTTCATGAGTGCATGCATATGTCAGACATTTCCAAATTGCACATCTTAATCATGAGCACTTTATTGCATCTCAATTATACCTCAATAAAACTGTTAAAAAAAAAAAACACAAAAAGAAGGTGTTGATTCTGATGGGGTTGAGGCCAACTGCAACAATACAATTGTGCAATGACAGGATTTTTGCACTGAGGTGCTTCCAAATGTCAGTATCTGTAGGATCTGTAGGGCTTTCTTCCAGTGTG